TGTAAATTCTTTACCATTTCGTCAATACAATTCACGTTCCAAATTTTACATTAAATTTTACGTTATTACTTATAATTGGACGATCGTAAAAATATCGGCAAGAGTTTTAAACGAAACGAATGAACAAAAAACACGCTACTCCGAATTCATTGCAAAACTTCGACCAAAAATTATCTCGAATAAAAAAATAAAGTGATTTGCACAATATTTTTCATCAATTAAATTCCTTCGTTCTTTTAATTATTATTATTTAATTATATTAAAAAATGAAGTATCCATAATAACTTCCAAATCAGGTATAAGTTTAACATTTAATCAATTAATAATTATAAATATTTATTTATTTTAATTTAATATTAATTTTATTTCAAGACAATAATTATTTATTTACGATGAAGATGAAGACACAAAAAAAAAAACCATTATTTTCTTATTGAAGCCATAGTGTCATTGATTATATGATAATTATTTATGTAAATGTACATATAATTAACCAGTTATTTTAAACAATAATTTACATATTCAGACATGCAAAAAATGTTAGATGGAAAATTATCAAGATCGATTTATTGAGTATTTTTTTTTCTCTCTCTCTCTCTCTCTCTCTAACAACTATATAAACTATAGTCGCAAACAGATTAAATTATTTAAATTTTACTTTACCTTCTTGTGTCACATAAATATATTTATAGCAAAAAATCTTTCTCTGATCTTGTTTATGAATTAATAGTCTAATAATTAATAGGTATTATCAATAATATAGTAACACGTGTTGTTCAATAGAATATATTATATATAAACACGTCTAAGTAATTAAGAATAAAAACTAAGATTACCAATGAAATAAAAAACTGATTTAGTATTTTAATATTTTAATGCTTCATCTATCTGCAGTATTTTCTTTTTTTTTTTTTGGTGTAAATTTAAAGATATACAAGTAATGGTAATGCAAAATATGATGAAAGAAATGAAACAAGAACCCTGTCTCAATACAATCAAGTTTAAGTTGGGTGTATTATTTCTTGCATTCACACGCACATCTATGAAAAAATTAACGAACCTTAAAAAAAAAAAATAAAAAAAAAAATAAAAATAAAAAAGATGATGTCTTTATTGAACTATATAAATTATTCGATAATAATTATTTTATATACTAAATTATTGATTTCAATGAAACATAAAAGTATATGTTTTATTTATTTAGATAAAACATATATATATTTAAGTTAAGTTAATAATGTTATTAATATTATAATGTAAGCAGGTAAATGTTTGGTTACATTTAACATTTACTTTTTTAATTTGGAATCCTGTCTTTTACTCACTTGTTAATAGCAATGTACAATTACTCTATTGTTTGAAGAAAAATTATTAAAAGTCACCAAATTGACATATCACGACAACTATTATTATCTAACTTCCTATGCAATTATTCTTCTACACAATCTCGAATAACGGTTATCAAAGAATAATAATAAAAAAAAAAAAAAAAAAAACAAAAAAAAAACTAGAAAAAACGGAATCTGAATAATTTTCACTGTGTTCAAATTTTTGTTTGTCTATGAATATTTATTAAGTTTCATTCATAAATATGAAATACATTCCTAACAAAATTCATGATGTTTTAAACCGTTATAAAATAAAAATTGTTCTTAATTGAATATTAAAATATTATTAAGGATTATTAATATAATTTTAATTAATTATTACGAAAATATAATTTGTCAATTTGGAAGAAAAAAATAACAGACAAAGATGAATACACGTTTGTTGCAATTCAAGACAACTAAACCATTTGAACTTCGGTTATGATCGATACATATTGTTACACAATCAAAAGTTATATTTTTTAAGAACGTTTGCCATTTTAAATGATATATCTTGTAACTTAGGATGAATATGTAATTGTCCTATTAATGAAATATGTATTTCGATAAATAATAACTTCATATACCTAATCATTAAACCATTATTCTTTATAATGTTATATACAAAAATTATATTAATTTATTAATTTAATATTTAATATCAAATAATTGAATATAATTAATTTTAAACGTATAAAAATTTTTTAAATTATTATATATTATAATAGGTAATTTTAATTATTAATAATTAAGTTTTTTAAATATATTATTATTATATTAAATTTTAATATAATTTATATTATATTAAAATAAATAATTACAAATATTAAGTTTAATATAATATAATCATTATTATACTATATTAAATTATTATATATTATAATATTTTAATTATATATTATATAATATTATAATATAAATTAATAATTAATATATTATAATAATAAATTTTAATTATTAATAATTAGGTTTTGTAAATTTATTAATATTATATTAAAATAAATAATTAAATATATTAAATTTAATTATTATAATAAATAATATAATATATAATAATTAATATATTATTTTAAATTATTATAAATAATAATAATAATTATTATTATTATTATTATATATTATATATTTGATTTATTTTTAATGAATTTATATGGTTGTTTATAATTTTTTCTGTAACATGATAATGGGTAATGACTGGAGTACCATGACGTATAACTCAATACCATACAAAATCATCCAAGGTCAAGATTTACAAGATAAATAATAAATTTACTTTTTGTACATTTCATTATTAATAAGATATCTATTTATCACCTTTCAATTTTTATCTTTAAAAAATTGTAGCAGTTGGCCTTGATGCAATTTTACTTTCAATGTCTTTGAATGACCTTAATTTATATATCATTGAACTCTGCTGATGAAATTCAATAACGCTATACAAGAAAATACGTGTAAATGAATTTACAAAAATAAAGGTAAATTTAAAAACTTTTTTTTACACGTTTAAACACGTGTAATAAATATTAAAATATTTAAAAATTAAATAATTAAAAAATATTAAAATATAACCTTTAAATATTATTATTATTATTATTATTCTATAAGTTTTGTATGTAAGATATTTTTGGTATTTTTTATTATACAGAGATATTTTAAGTGTTAATAATTACTGAATAATTTTAAATAATATTTATTATAATATATACAAAATATGATATTTGAAATAAATTTTGTATCTTGAATCACTCAACTTTTCTTTTTAAGTTTAATTTAAAAAATATATATGACTTGTTATTTGTAACGTTAAAGTTACGTAAAATCTTAGTAAAATATTTGGAAAATTTCTTGAATAATTTATTGCAACACTTTTCAAATCATAATTGCATGAATTAATTTTATTTTAACAAAGAAATCAAAAAACATTAGGAATTCCATTAAAAAAAAAATATTTCGATAACCTTGAAATTTAAGAAAATAAAACAAAAAAACAATATTCACATCAAATTCTGAACATAACCAGGCGAGTTTTTTGAATACTATAATTTTGCTCTTTGTGAGCATTTTTTTTGTTCATGTTGAATGCAAAAAATATTCCAGACTATAAAATTATACTTTGCACCTTAAAAATGATATAAAAACGATATAAAATTCTATGTATAAAATTTTAATAGGCTAAGTTTTAGTTAACTTTAATTTTATACGATCTGAAAATAATTTTAAATTCAAACATTTGCATTTTAACTTAACAATAAAAAAAAATAAAATAAAATAAACAAATTAACTGTAAACAGTATTAATATTTGAAATAATCTTCTACACATGCCGTTTAAATGAAACAACAGGTAAAAAAATTGTGTTAATGAATTATATATTTTTAAAAATGATCATGTGATTCAAGAATGATCTTTAAATATTTTTTTAAGACCATTAATGCTAGCTCACGTAAAAATGTTTGAAACATGATTCAAAATTCAACATGCGATTCCAAAAAAAAAAAAAAAAGATTTAATTACATATCAATTTTGAAAGTGTTGTATTCGTATATTTAATCAAATATTAATAAACTTAATTTAAAAAAAAAAAAAAACAAAATGACATTTCAAATAATTCAAAATACAAAAATAAATATTTTTTAATTTCATATCTTCAATAATTCATGTTAGATCCGTTATAAGATATATTTTAAATTTAATAATTTATCATTCAATCATATTTTTGTTGTTTTGTTATTTTTTTCCTATATCCAAGACTTAAGTTTTCATAGGACCATTATGAGCAAGCATAAATTAGTCGGCAAGTTTTAAACCTTCTTAAAGAACGAATATAATTTTAGTGGTGTTTACCTTTTTCTTTTTTTTTTTTTTCTTTGTTAAATCTTTTGTGTCGGTAACACACAATGACTAGCCGAATATACAGGTACATATTTACATATTAAAGACAAGTTTTTGGAAGTATAGAATATGAATATTTCTCCATAGTGTATATCCTAACAAAAATTACGTTGATGTCTTTAAAAGAAAATAAAAAAAACAATAATAAAAAAATGTACAAATAATAATGAAAAATATGATGATTGGTAATGAAGAAAAATCGATGATCAGAATGAATTGTTATTTACAATCAACTACAGTAAAAGTTATAGGAACATGTATGAATTGTATTTACTTCCGTCTTCTATTACGTTGAATGCCTAAACTAGATCAAGCTTTCACGATCTTTTCAACATTTCAAAAGGAAGTGAAATCAGTTAAAAATAAGGAATATTATCAAGATATTTACTACTACTATTTACTTATTATATTATATAGGTATCTCGTTGTGTCTATGAATAGCATGACATTTCGTTTCTTTACCACAAAATAAAATCAATTTGTTGAGCATATTTAAAAGAAGTGATTATATTTAAAGACGAGATACAAATCGTTCTACTTTTGTTCGTCAATAATTCTCCTTTAGTTATCCTCGAGAGTTTCATTTAATCGTCAAGATTAAAACAGTTATAAATATGCGATTAAATCAACATAGTAGTAACCATTTACAATTAGAAGATTGTAGGATATAACGATGCAAAACTGACTGTGATAATAATCACAATTATGGCATTAATAATCAACGAGTGTAATAAACACAATCTTCTCTATCTAACAAAGTAACTATCTCGAAGTAAACTACTACAACTATGATACTTTTTCATGATGTAACACATAAGCAGCCATGTAATCGTAAAACTGTGTAGGGTATATCAATAAAGAACTCTCTCGTGTAATGGACTCACGATCGTGATTGTTATATTATTTTGTGTCAAAGAAAATAATGATTACACATGTGTTATATAAATAAATCGATGGATAATGATAACAGTAGGTTATGTTAAATGAAACGTGAATTTGAAAATATCAACCTTTTAAAGTAGGTCAAATTCTTATGTTACAATTAATTATTAAAATAAAAAAAAATAAAAAAATAAAAAAAAATGGAGCAAGGAAAAAAGAAATATGGTAACAAGATCTCAGCATTGATCTTAGCAATGCTAGTCATTTCAATTTTACCATGAAAATGCATTTACAAAACATTATACGCACTATTAAAATAAAATACTTCTTGACGATTCATCATGTTCATTGAAGCTTATCCACGTGACACTTCAAAACACATTTTTGTACTTTAACATATTACGAAACGTAATTTCTTCGAAGAACCTTTATACCTGTACTTTTACTTATATATTTGGAACAATTACATATCTATAACCGATAATCTCTTAATAACATTCTAATATATCCAACAGTTATATCAAAGGTATAGTTTGAGATATTCTTTTTTTAGAAAGCAGATACGTTTCGTAAGTACTCTCGATCATGCTTACAACAAGGCTCGGCATTCTATTGCATTTAAATTTTTAATGAGAGAAGAAATTTCTTTTATTCATTTTTTTTTGTTTTTGTTTTTAATATTTCAACATTTATCAACTTTTCCATCATAATCTTAAATGTTTTGTAATCTTTGATTTTGATACTTTAATTGACCTTGACTTAAAGTAATAATGACCTACGAATTATATCTACGAAACATATTAACGTGAGGGTTAAATAATTGATTCGTATCACTGTGATACTCTCGTAAAAATAAGTAATATGAATAATTAAAATTGTTTCAATACATATATGAATAGATTTACGTATAGAATATAAAAAAAAAAAATGACTAAATATCCTAATAGCACAAAATATTGAAAAATATTGAATACATGTTTATTTAATATTAAAAAGACATTAAATCTCTTTTTTTTATTTTAATATTTAAATTAATATTAATTAATTATATAATATATAATAAATTAATAATAATTAATATTTAAATCTAATGTTTAAATTTTTTGATATTAAATACACATGCATTGAATATTTTTGAATATTTTGTGCTACTAGGGTAACGTTTTCATCTTGGATAGTAATAGAGTAATATAAACTTAAAATTTTTTTTTTTTTTTTCTTAATTTTCAATGTATATTTTACTTACGTAAGATAATATTATCTTCGTTCCAGTAATTCTTTCTTGATATATTTCGTCGTTCTCCGAAAAGCGCAGGTATGTTCTATTGCGCGCAAGTGCGCGTGTTCTTACGCACACACGTACACAACTAACACTCACACACTCAAACACAGAGGAAAGATACGCACTCGTGTAAGTTCGTTAACTGACCAATAAAATATGTCTCTTTATGTAATATACTAGAAGACAGAGTAAAAATAGGGTGGATTGTGGTTAAAGAATGAGAAAGCGATAGAATAAATGAATGAAAGAAGAAGAAGAAGAAGAGAGAGAAATAGAAAAAAGAGGAAGAAGAAAGCGAGAGAGCGGAGTGAGTTTCTCTCGTGGATCACCGGTGATGACCAAACGAACTGTTAGCCGCGTTCCTTTCGACAACTTTTCCGCGATCCGCTTAAAGATTTTTCTTCTAAATGAAATTTCCGTCATGAAACACAGTTAACGTGTGTACTCCTTTCTCCCCATATATTTATATTCACTATATTACCAATACATCGTTTAAATCCTTTCTTTTTTTATTATATTTATCGACTGATGTTCAAATTCGAAGAAAATGCCGCAAAAGTTTTACTATGAAACCTATCGGACCAAGCATTCAAATCACCGCGTTGCGATCAATCTCTATGCGTACACTGAAAACGGTCGTAGGATTAAATGCTCTGATGAACTCGATAGTAGAAGAAGAAGAAGTTGAAGAAGTTGAAGTGGAAGAAGAAAACAAATGAAGAAAAAGTATATTTAAAAAATAGAAACGGAAACGGGCCCCCACCAGTTATATGCCGGCATATAGAAATTAATCGAACGTTTCTTTAGCGAAATTGTGTACCGTTATAATAAACTGGATTTTTACATGTCTACTTCTTCTACTTCTTCTTCTTCTTCTTCTTCTTCTTCTCTATTTCTCTCTCTCTCTCTCTTTCTCTTTGTCAATTTCTCTTTTTTCTTTGGATTTGATTTTTATTTATTTTGAGAATACCCTCAATTTTTACCTTCTTCAATAACAAAATCAATCGCGACGTGGATGATTTGAAAAAATGTCACGCACGATAGATAAATCGATTAACTTAAGATCGATTCGACGTATTGATTGAGATTAAATAGAACGGTCTGGACCATCGGTAAAACGTTGCTTCGTACCAACCTCGTATTCAAAGAAGAACTCAACGGTAGTGGTAACCGATGCTAATAGTGGTAGGTTTGATACTCTCTCGCTGCTGATACTCGTGGTGGTGGTCGTAGAAGAAGTGATGGTAGTAGAAGTGGAGGTGGTGGTAATGGTGGTGGTGAAGACAAAGTAATAGTGGTGATGGTGGTGGTAATGACGACAACGACACTGACGAAGAACTGGACGTCCCCAGGTAAACGTACGTCCTGAAGGTTGTTTTATTTTAATTATCGTATTGTAAATTTGGCCAATTGTACAATTCCATTTTGATGAAATAAATGACACCCTTTGTTCGATAAATTAATAACATTTAATTTAACATCACACGATCCATTGTCAAGGTGTCAAATAAACGGTTATAATAAAAGAAAGATAAAGAGAAAGAGATAAAAAAAAAAAAAAGGAAAAAAGAGAAAACCTTTTACTAGGATGCTGAGAATAAGCTTATGAAACCATCTTTGGTCTTTTACGTGTCAAGGATGGGTTCACGTTTTGGTGTCGTTTTTGTGAACTCCTATAGATGTATTTTTTATGATCAAAAAAACAAGATTTGTGAAAAAGCATTCTTCGAATTTTGATTTTTATTTTTATTCTTCTTCTTCTTCATCATCTTATTATTATTATTATTATTATTATTATTATTGTTCTTTTTTTTATTTTATCTTTTATGAGTGACCGAATGATAGATAATAAATTTTCTGATATTTTTTTTTCTTAGATATGTAAATGAGTTATATATTTTATATAAAATTTAGAAATAATAAAAATATTTATTTTCAAACGTTAATTAAATTTATAACAAGAAATTTCTTTCTTTTCATTAATTATTGTCGTTTTTAATACACGTGATCAAAACCTTCCATAAAGTCATTTGTTGTAAAGAAAAAAAAAAAAGAAAAAAGTATCACGACGTTCGAGTGAGTCGCATAAACAACTAACATAAGAGAGAACGTATAAAATGTTTCATATAAAAATCAACAATCGATATCTCTAACCAATAACGTCATAAGAAACGTAGGAATAATTTTCTCCTAGTTGCGTTCTCTTTCTAATTAACTTTACAAATGATAAACGAGTTTTTCATATCGTTATAGATGCAGGATTGCAAGAAGGAGACATGTACTTAATTGCGTCAAAGTGTATCTTGTTAGGAAATGGTTAGGCCCAAAGGTTAACCCTCGATTATGCTACACAACTTGTTGCTTCATAATTACATATTAAAATTTCAACCGAATACATTTAACCTGGCCTTGTTCACTACTCTGAACAAATTCATTAATCTTTCCTCTCGTCAAATTTTTTCTTTTTTTTTTTTTATTGTTTCATTTATATTTCGCACAAATTTGCAAAATTCTTCATTCGATGTATAATCAGAAAATTTCTTTTTTTTTTTTTCTTTTTTTTTTTTGGAATGAGTCGTCTTTTTATTGATGATCTGTTCAAATTTCAAGAACGAAGATCACATTTACCGATGACATTTTTCTACGCCTCATTCGCAGAATATTCGCGACATGTAAATAGGAAAATTACACGTTATACAATACTATATGACATATATATTTAAACAACAGTCCTTTTTCTTTTTTGTTTAAATCCGTTTAAGATGAATACATATTATATCAAAAAAATAATAAAGACTTTTCCTACTGTCATTTATACATGTATTTATAAGTACATACATGCATATTATACAATTGTCAATTTATTATAGATCATCTTTTCTTAAAAACTTATCACAAAACAGAAGAAACATAAACGTCATTGATAATAATTACAGTACTGTCTTTCAAACATTGTAAGATTTTTTATACATTGACGTAAGAGCATATTTATTGACCGGATCGTACACACAATGAGTACAAGGTCTCCTTACTTTTTCGGGGTAAATGGGTATTACAAGGTGAAAAAGAGTTAAGTGTATACGAAGAAAGTAAAAAGAACATAACGCTCTTAAAAGATCAATAAGTATATGTTAACTCTAAAGTTAAAAAACAAATTGTTCTGAACAATGACGACGTCTGAATGTTATTCATGGTATTGGTTGAATGTTTATTCGACGTTATTTTTTTATTTCAAATTTTTGATATTAAATCGAACCACGTGATCGAATGACAAACAGAGAGACAAAAAGAACAATTCTGCACTATTTAACATTGGTTTTGCATTACACGTGACTTTGAATGACATAAATAAGGTCATCGAAGACAGGGAAAAACTAAAATAACGACGTAATAAAATAACTTTTTATGATTTACAAAAAAAAAACACATATATATAATTTTTATTAAAAATTAAATGATTATAAATATATTTATATTTATATTTATATTTATATTTATATACAATATATATTATATAAAAATACATATATATAATATATATTGTGTGTATATAAATAATTATATATTAATTATATATATATATATATATTATATAATAATATAATAATAAAAATATAAATGTAAATATAAATATATTTATAATTATTTAAATTTTAATAAAATATTAATATATTAATGAATAATTAAATAAAATAATATAATAAAAAAAAAATTAAAAATAATATAGTAAAATATTAATATAAAATATATAAATAAAAATTTCCTACAAAAATTAGTATTGCGCATTTTATAATAGTCATTTATTGTCGAGTTATAAAATTCATAAAGAAAAATGAAATTTGTCTTAAAATAATCAAACTTAAATCTTCAATATCATTCAAATGGTGAGGTTTACGAAAAAAAAATATAAGATACCTTTTTTGTAGAGCATTAAATTTCCTACAAAATTCTTTCAGAACATTTTTCTGTACAATCAATTAATAATGAGGTATGAATTTTATTCTATTGGACTGAGAAAAAAATAAAAAACTGCGATGCGGTGGATCTTCCTATTAAAATTAAGAGCTCATATTTGGTGAGAATTTTTTTAAGGTGTCTAGCAACCCATTTTTCNTATATATATATATATATATATTAAAATGAAAGGAAGAAACGTTTCGAAATAAATGGGATTGATTAATAATAATTATTTCTTCTTTCGTAATAATAATAATAATAATAATAATAATAATAATAATAATAATAATAATAATAATAATAATAATATCTTGATATTTATTTTGAAAGATTTATTTTGAAAAGTTGCAAATGTTTAAAGAATGCAATATCAGCGGTTAATACGTGACGATAAACGGATTTTGACCTTACCGGAAACATACTTGATTCATACAACATAATCAAAAGTGAAATGAACAAAAATGACACGTCGTGACAAGTCAATACATATTTTCATCGCGTGTATCTTGTCAGAATTAAAAGCCATTTTTCAAAAGTTTGAATCGTTCAAACTTTACGAAAATAATATGTTATTTAAAGAAAACAGTAAAAATGATAAAAAAAATAAAAAGAATGAGGAAAGAAAGGAGAAGAAGATGCAAAAGAAAGTTCGACAAATCGAGGTCATTGTTAATCAATCGCTAAAAACTATCAAACATTACCAATTATCGTATCATCAATGTAAAAGGTGAAAAACTAGAAATTTTGTTGTATTTCCATGTGTTATATTAAGTGTATAAAATTAATGTGAAACTTTATACCAATGTAAAAAGTATTAATATTATTTATTCATGTTATAATAAAAACAAGTTGAATTAATTTGCTTTATTCATGCGTAAAAGGATCGATTAATCTTGTAAACAAATAACAAGACAAATGATATATTTAATGACCTAAATAAACATAGAATGTAATTTTACTGTATAAATAAACAATCATATTAATAAAAATGATATAAGAAGGTTGAAATTCATTTTTTTATTTTAAGTATATAATTTATTCGTTCTAATTAGAACGATATATAATAAGATTTTATAAGATAAGATTTTTATATTTGTTGTATGTGAAATTGTTGTTTAGTATAAGCAATATTTATTTATATATTAATATTATATAATATTGTATATATATAACTATTGGTACTCTCTCGTTTAGTATGCAATTTATTTATAATATATATTTATTTATAATTTATAATAAATATATATAATATTAATATAATAATATATTAATTAATAATAAATTAATAAATTTAATTATTATAAATTATAAATATTATATATATATATATTTTTTATATATTATATATATTATAAATAATATAATATATATTAAATATTAAAAATATTATATATAAATATTTAAATTATAATAAAATATCAATTAATAATTAAATTAATATTATATATATATATATATATTATATATTATATATTATATATATATTTTTTATATATTATATATATTATAAATAATATAATATATATTAAATATTAAAAATACTATATATAAATATATAAATTATAATAAAATATCAATTAATAATTAAATTAATATTATATATATATATATATTTTTTATAATAAATATATGTTATATATATAGGAGAATTTATATATAATATATTTATAATATACATTTATTTATAATTTATAATAAATATATATATATATATATATATATATATATATATACTCTCTCGTTTAGTATGCAATTTATTTATAATATACATTTATTTATAATTTATAATAAATATATATATATATATATATATATATATATATAGATTCTAATTAATAATTTATATAATTAATTAATTAATTATTTATAAAAAAAAAAAACTCATTTTAAATGTAAAAATATCTCAAGAAAAGAAAAGAAAAGAAAAGAAATAAAAATAAAAATAATAGATCCAATTGATGAAATAAATCAATGGCCATAAATCAATGAATAATAAAAAATGATAGTTTTGATCTAAATAACAAATATGATCGAAATAATTAAAAATATTTTCTTTTCGTAGAATAAATACAAACCTTGACATAACAGTCTCACGTTTATCTTTCCTACGAACGATCAAATAATAAAAAAATAAAAAATACAAAAATAAAAGTAAAAGTTCGAGAGACTTTTAATGAAAATAAATAACATATGGTTTCTCATCCGCAATTGAATTGCGGATTCGTTCGTAGAACTTCCTTTGAAATAAACGACGCAAGGAGAAAATATAAAAGTATCTTGTACATACTTTTGTATGTACATACATGCATGCATGTATGTATATATACATATATGGATAAGTATAAGTATGTATGATATACGCATGAAGACCATAATCGTGGATCGTTGGTCGAAGCAATAGAAGACGATGCAAAATGTCTTTTTTCACTGCTAGTATCAAATCTACGATGTAATTTAAATTCTTTTTTTTTTGTTTTTTTTTTTTTTTTATTATTATTTCTCGATGTAATCTCACAATTCTTCCGGTTGTAAACCATTTCCAGAAAGAACCGTTGCCACTAACAAGTTCGATTGGTCATAAGAATTTCATTTATTTATTCTTTAATAATAAAAACAAATTTTTAATTGAAATAGGAAAACGAATTATATTATTTTTGATAGTCAAAATGTTAAAATAATATGTATGAGTATCTTTAAAAAAAAATGTTGTAGATTTTGGAAAACCCAACTGAAAAGCAAAGAGTTTTTGTTAGAAACGATATCAATGTCGTAATATTTTACATGAATGATTCAATTTGATTTAATTGAGATATAAATTTAAATAATAAAATCTTTTAATCAAGGTAATGAAAAATGTGGAAGGTAAAAGTATTTATCGTAGATTAAAGTTATATAAATATGTAAATAAAATGGTAAATAGACATATCATTAAAAATTATAATCATAAAATAAATATTAAAATCAAAAAACTGATAATAAATTTGATTAAAATCAGAAAATAAATATTAAAGTAAAAAAATAACTGATGATAAGCTTTGTTAAAATCAGAAAATAAATAATTCTAATTTATTTGTTTATTCTTTCTTAATGTGACACTCTTTTCCTAGAAATAATTTTCATTTTCCTATTATTATAATCTCTTTTATAATTTTCATGTTAATTTTTGTTTTCTATTTCTAGATTTTTTGCTTTTGCAATTAACTTTGAAGTTGTTACAAAATGCAAATTTTCTTTATTATCAGGAAATATTACTAATAGATAATAATAAGACAAAAAAATATTTATCGATCTAATCTATGATGTGAAGTATCAATTTTATGCTAATGTAATGTATACACGTTTGAATAAAAAAAAAAAGAAAAGAAATAATAAGTATTAATATCGTCATAAAAATAATATGATTCAATAAACAAGTTCATTAACTTGGAATTTATCATAAAAAAAAGTATGAACCTTTTATAAGATACAATATTTTTTTTACTAGAATTAATTTTTTCTATTTCTTATAATAAAAATGTTATTAATATGTTTCAAATAAAAATATTATAATAATTATCCATTAAATCATAATTATTATTAATCACTGAAACTTTTAATTATTAGTTAATATTACGAAAAAGCGATTATGTGTTTTTCATGAAAAATATTGATGAAACATGAATTAATCTTTCTTCACTAATTTGTCACGAATTATTACCAATTAAGAAATTTTTTTAATTTATATTTCTTACAAATTAATAAACTCATGAACGAAAGATGAGATTAATGATGATTAACTAAAAAAATATTATAGAATTTAATACTAATAGAATTTTTAAATTATTAAAATCTAAATAAAATTAAAAAATCATAGGATTTATAAATTATTTATGTAAATAAGAATTAAAATATATTATATAACTTACGCCTTTATTTGCCAAAATTAATATTGCATTTTGTGTTTTTAAGCACATATTATTCGATAACTATGAATAATTTTATTATAAACGTCTCAACGTAGTATATTTATTTGATATATTTAATAGAAACATAAATTTCAAAATATATATACTAATTTTATATATACTGTCATTTTTCCTGAAATATTAAATTAAATAATAAAACAAACAAACAAAAAATGATTTTTCGAATATTATAAACTACTGTTTGATTTATAGATACTTTTTCAGCTAAGGTTTTCTATAAATAATTACGAAGTTACCTAGATCATACAACATTATAGTTCAAACGAAGAGTCAAAAGATTGACTATTTGATTAACACAATATATTATAACATTTATTTGTAATTTAATAAGTATATATATATATATATGATATAACGCTTGTTACAGAGCCAAAATATGATTAATGTTATAAACAACAAATTGAAATGTTTAAAATAAAAATAATACTGAATAATGATGTTCCATCTTTCCTACAAAATATGACAATTTCGATAATTTACATCCATAAACGTTATTTACCGACTATTGAACTCTTCATCTTATCTTGTATGTATATTTGTCTAATCATAAGTAAATTATTGTTCAATAATGATGCAAGGATTGGTCAAAAGAGAATTCATTTTATAAAAAATAATATTAACATTGATGATGTTATTGTTTCAAAGATATTAATTTGTCTTCTTAAGATGTGCATATATACATATATATGTATGTATATATCTTTAAAATGCAATCATAGCATTAATAGTTTAATGACGCATCTCATTCCATATACGAATTTCATAAGAAATTCAAATAATCTTTTACCTATGTTTAACGTACATGATAATACATTGTGAAGAAGCTTAAATTTTAGTGTGCGTCACAAACTTCAGAGATAATATATTATAAGGAAGTGTAAGTAGTGATATACATACCTCCCACATATGATTTACTTTGTATTTTTCTCAAAATGTTATGAAACCGTATAGCATTTATGCATATGTAAAGAAAATCACGAAAATGATAATAGTTAATATGTGAAATATAATAATAAAAGATATCATTTACAATATTCCTGCATTTTGTATTATTCATATTTTAATATAGCATAAAATGCTGGCTCGGATATATAACGATCCTATTTTTCAATTATCTCAAGATAAATTTATGTCAGAATAATTTGTACAAAAGAACGTTTCAATTTAAGTACATTGAACAGGCGTTATATAGCGTTGTCAGGTATAATAAAGTATAGTATTTCCTTGTACGTCTTTCTGGAGATTAATTTCAGAAAGAGAGCTAGATTGAGTGTAATTTACATTTATTACTAATTATAATGACATGGTTTGTATATAGCTATCAATATTCTTTCAATATGTAGCACAATACAAAACAGTACATTGTTTAACCATAATTGTTACATATAGCCCGAATCATTAAAACAGATCTATTAACTTATAATCTATACACCTTGCAGGAAAACTTCGCACGTCTAAATACCAAAGATTGAAAGGAAAATAATATTTTACAATTGTTAAATGAATAATTCCCCCAAAAAAAATACTAAAGGTATAATTTTAAAATAATCATATATGGAATATACAATTAATATTAAACTACTTAATAATCAATATAATCATCATAAATATATAACGGATATGTTTTAACAAAAAGGAAATCAATATTTTCGGTTGTTCCCTTTTTGCTTATTGAGATAGATCAGTGAAGTGTATTCACATTTTACATTAATTGAAAAGAAAATGTAGATCTTGTGCTTAAGTCTAAGAAAATTTTGTACAACACAATAAAGCGATTCGATTATCAATATCTATCACCAGCATTAACAAAATCATTTGATTTACATAAAATAATTACTAATCACTTTTTATGTATAGTAAATCATAGATTAGATAGTAGTTGTCTCTAAACACTGAGATCTTCACAGACGCATCGTCTTAAGTATTGCATCGAATGCAAGGTAACTACATTATATTTAAGTAGAATACAATAATTATTTAGTTATTGATACTATCTTCACAGACATTTTTATACCTTTACATTTTTTTAATAGACATTTCAATAATACTCACTACAATCTGTCAAGATTTTTTTTTTTTTTTTAATCTGAACTGGTTGTTAATGAAATCATTTTTTATTTATTATGACTCTGAGAGTAAGAAAGAGAGCATGGTAATACATTTGTATGTTAATAATTTATCTGTAGTTCTTTGTAACATGTTTTCAACTTGATATAGAATTTCTACTCACATTTATATAAGTGAACATTTCTACAAAAAGTAATTAAGATTTATCTTTCATATGTAAATACACACACACTTTCGAATATTTTAATATTTATTTTTTATTCAATGAAAATGTTTTAGATAAGTTTGCAATATTCAAAGAAATTAAATATGGCAATCTTAAATAAACTTTTTAAATGCAATTTAAATATAAATTCGTAGCTTTTAGATCAATTTTTTTTTTGTATTCTAGAAAATAGGTGAGACAATAATCATAATTGTTATTTTTCAACAAATCAATAAAATAATTAATTTCAATAGAAAACATGTTAGAATACTTTGGAGAATTACATTTAATATATAATAAATTATATTATAGATATAATCATATATTTTTAAATAAAAATTAAAGTATTTATATATTATATAGCATATACTATTTATTAAAGCTTCTATAACTGAGATACAATATGAGAAAAAGTCATATTAAATATGAATATTGAAATTTATGAAAGAAAAACTTTTTGTTCTTTTTAAACTTGCAACCCAGAACACCAGTCTTTTTAAGTTATCATACATTTAGTACCTTCATATTTGTAAACTGGTGATAAAGAGCAATTGCCATATGACAAATATTGCATAAATATTATCAAAATAATACTAAGAGATTGCAAATGACTAGCAAATGAATATACTGAAAAAAAAAAAATAAATAAATAAATTACTGTACAGTATATATTATTTTTTTTCTCTATGATTTTAATAAACCATGAGCTTTCTTTCCAACATCAGATCACACCTACACATTATTAAAGTCTCACAATGCACATTATTAATATCCGCGTTTACTATGAACACGTCACAATGTTAAAATATACATAACCTGTGCATGTGCTACTTCTTAGACATTATGGAATTACTATATTTATTCATTACAAGATTTAATATTTAATTCTGTAATTGATGAATGGTCATCATAATTCGTGCCTAGAAACTCGAATGGCATATTTTGAATGTACCTAATGTTTCTTTGTGTCATTGGGCGCATGAATAAGTGTAACTTACAAGTGGTCAACAATAAGAAGCACAGTTTAACAAATAACGCTTCCTCTACATCTGCCATGAAAACTTACTCTACAATTAATGCTGCCCAGCGATCTATCAGCAAATAAAGTTCTTCTCATTTCTGTAAGAAATAAATAATAAAAGAATCAAATTATACCGAAAGTAACATGACTCTTTCATATTACTAAAAAGAAAACAGAAGATAAAATTACCTCAGAGAAAAACAAACTAGAGAGAGCAGTATGTTTTCAGGATGGATTAATCTAATCCATTTTTCTTCGTTGGTAGTTCGCTGTGCATCTTGTGAAAATATATTTCGGTAATGACTATGGATGACATTTAATAAGCAGGGGCTTGAAAATCCCCCATTCCCCGCTGCTGTTGACCAAAAGGTGGTTCTTGATAAGCAGCATCTGTAGCGTCAGGATAACTTGTATATCCTGTTCCACCTACAGGATCTGCTTCGTAACTTGGAGCAAAGGCTGCATCTTGTATACCTTGTCTGAATCTTTGAAATGCAAACCAGGCACAGCCAATCTATATATACAAAAATATAAATATACATATTTTCCAAAAGGGTCATGGAAAATTTAATGCTATTAAATTATTTTCACTTTACGATGAATAACAAATTGTAAATGAAAAACTTACCCAAGAAAAAATTGAAAAAAACGAAAATGCAATAGCTCCTTGTACATTATTAACACCGTACCCATCTTCTGAAGCTGGTGATTTATTCCATGCATTTGTTAGGTAACAGAAGCCGACAAAATATAAAAATGCCCAAAAACCCGAAAAACTAAAAGAGATAGAATATATACGTGTGAAATCAATGATTACAAATCAATGAAAGATTTTATTAGCAATTGTATCATTTTATCAACTTGTTATTTAATAAACAAGTTTAATAATTCTAGGAAATAATTGATTAAGCTTACCCAAGATCTAAAAGGACATAATGTTTTCGAGTTTTAACAGAGGACATTTGTTCAAACAGATATTCACCAGCAAGGAAACCAATACTGGCTAAAAATGCTATAACACCTATTCCGATGCCATAATTACAAGCATTATTGTCGCCATTGTAGAGGCACACCTCTTTGTCTCCTTTTGTAATGTATCCCTTGCTGCTTATGCACCCAAATACTATTATAGCAAAGAGCTGAAATTCATTAAACTTTCTTCATTAAATTTATCTTTTTTATACCTTTTTTTTTTTAATTCTTTTCTAATATTTGCAAAATATTTGTAATCTTTAAATATATACGTAAATAATTTAATATTAAAATAATTCCAAGTTAGAGTATAAGATGACATGACTGTTATAACATATATCCTATTCATATATCGAAGTGATAAAACAAAATGGAATAAAATCGATAGAATGACATATCCCTATATAGATATGATATTATTATAAGATAAAATCGATGTAACGGGTTTGATTAAGAAGCCAAGAATTTTGATTTAGTCGATAATGTACATAAGCATAACTTGGCATAAAATAAAATCAACCTACTAAATAAGACCATTTAAAAATATCATCTCATTAAGGACATTTATAATCGACATTTTTAAAACGTATCAGATCAATCGAAGTTATGATGGATTTCAATTGAAAATCCCATAGAATCTTGTATTATGGGGCGTACCGCTGGAATTCACGAAAAATCAATAGAACCCCATCATGGATAGGGGTGGGGGCTCAAGTTCTTTTAAAATCAATGTATTTACCATCTCAAATTTAGTTCGACCTATTGAGCTATAGAATAGGAAACATTCAAGAAAATGAAATTTTGTTATAATGCTTTAACTTACCAAGCATGCTGCCCTTAAAATAACTAGAGGCCTTTGAATGAATGCAATCGGATCAAAAGGCGCTCCTGCCTTTCCTCCACCGTACGCTCCGCCGCCGTCCATCTTAATGCAACTGAAGTGAAATTTCAAAGCTTTCAAAGAAAGACACCACGCACGCGCCACACAATACTCATCCTCTTGTGCGATATTTTATTAAACCATCATTGTAAACTCTCCAATTTATTTGATGAGTAGTTACCTAAATAATCAAATATTAATATTTTACAATGGAGAAAGAAGTAAAAAAAAATAAAAATAAAGTTGTTTAATATCTACATTTGTAATTTGGTATTTAACTAATTGCATACAAAATAATTAAAATAAAAATGAAACTTAAAATTATTAATATCACAAGTACTACGCGTATTGAATTTATTTATAATTCTTTCAAAAATTACATATCTGTTTGTATAATTCAAAAATGAATTTCTATTTCAATAGTGATTGGTTAATATTATTTTTGCAAGTTCACCAATCAATATACGACAATTAATTGAACTTACATCTGATTGGTGGTGACAATAATAGAACGGAACGGAAGATAATAGTAGAACGGCGTAGAATTATTGTACACACCTTTCGTGTGATTATCGATTTTATAATTTGTAAAATATACTATATTACATAATTTAATTAATAGCAATTTTTTCTCATAAGGTATAAATAATTATAATTTTAAACAGTAAATATAAAAGAGTATATATAAAAACATTCGTAAAATAAAAGGATTTTTCCGATAATGGCGCCACAAAAAATTTAAATAACATACGTTATTGAACACTTCATTATTATCGTTATACATTTGTTTTGTAGACTTTATTTTTATTTGTAATATTTAAAAAAATACATATACATCAATATATATAAATATGACATAGTTAATGACGTAATATATTAAAGATGATTAGTTGAAGTAAAACTTTTGCCACGTGTCAAGTTACGACTACATTACCGACTGATAAAGTACCTTTTATTATTTTATGTTGATAAAATAATAAATAATTAAATATAACTAAACTTGTTGAAATATATATATATTTTTAATTGGTATATTATTAAATTCTTTAAATTAAACCCAGTAAACTTTTTATCAATTTTGATTTGCAGTTGTGTCGACCACTACGGTCACGTTACGGTGGTATGGGAGACGTTCAGATAGTATAAAAGAGCAGGGAGCGATGCAACAGTCCGGCTTCTGAGGGCATCGTCGTTAGATCAGTTGGGATTATTGGTATTGTTTTTCGCCTGATAGACAATACGAATTATCCTGCAATGGCCCTCAGCCAAACTAGTGTGGTAAGTAAAGGAGAAATCAATGACAACTCCACAGAAATATGATTGTAATAATGAAACGTGTACGTTTTAGTTCTAAGAAATAATTCGACATGGTTATGCGAAGCCACGTTGTAAAGGAATAAATTGTTCACGTGGTTCATATACTTGTCACCTAATTTGAGAAATCCTCTCCAACTTATATTTTATTCAATGTTTTTTATCATTCTCTTTCTCTCGATTACAACTTTTAGGTTAATCGTATTTTTTGTGTTCTTAGGAATGTATGAAATACTTAACATCTATTCAATTATTATATTCTTCTTTTTATGTCAAAACAGTTATTTAATCTTTACTTTCATACTTCAGAATTGTTAGTTTTCATTTGAAAAAAGAACGTAATATTTATTATATAAATTATTAAATATTTAATAGAGATTAAGATAGCATAACAAATTCATTAAGTAACGTTCACGTTATTAATATTACACAAATTAGATTTAAAATCATATTTTTTATAAGTATGCATTTCTGTAGAAAACATAGAACATATATATGATTTAAAGTCTTTACTAATTTATTGTTTCAAATTTTATTAATTAATTGTATATACCGAAACTGATGCATTTAAAAAAAACTTTTGTTTTGATTTTTGTTATTATAAATAACAAAATACTTTAACATATTATTTACAGTTGAGACTATACAACACTGTGATAGATGATGTAATAGGTGGAGTTCGAGAAGCGTTTTCAGATGAAGGTGTAGATGAACAAGTATTATTAGAACTGAAACAAATTTGGGAAACAAAATTAATGTCAAGTAAAGCAGTGGAATTAAATCCAGAACCACAAGAACCACAAGTTCCTCAGCTAAATACACATAAATCTGTGCCTGGTAGCAAAGGTATAATGACATACATATAATTACAAAATAATTTATACTAACATAAAAATTTAGGATAAAATTATATAATATATCTTTGCTAATCATATATTATTGATACAGTTTCACAACAATCGCAGCAGCAACAACAACAACAACAACCAACACCGCAGCAATCACAACCGCAACAACAGCAGCAGCAACATCAACAGCCGCAACAATCACAGCAACATCAACAACAACCATCACAGCAACAAACATCACATTCTTCAAGTACACCATTACAACACCAAAATGCACCGGTGCAACAAGTGGTGACGACTACTCCACCTGCGGTACTTGATAGACAAGTGCCAATTCAAATTACTTTACCACCACAACCTGGTTCACGTGATTCTCAGCAACGTATATTAACTATACAAGTTCCTGCATCTGCGATTCAAGGTATATAGAGTTCAGAAGTTATTGTATATCATATGTTCTTGTAAGCTAAAGTAAATTATTTTGTTTAAAGGCAACCAACTTCACACTATTTTAACTGGTCCTATAATTAGTGCTGCAATGGGTTTGCCAGCTGATGTAGCTGGAACATTATTACAACAGCATGTAAATTCTACTTTTCTGGGTCATCCTACATTGTCACCAATTCAGGTTAATCAACCCTTACAAGTTGTAACGCAAAACACAAATAATGTTGTTTCACAACGATCTGTTCAAGGTCAAGTAAGTACAATTTTTAAATCTATAAAAACATTTATAATATTTTGTAAATATTATTATAATTCATGAAGTTTAGAAATATATTATTAGTTATTTTTCTTATTTTTTTAGCAAAATAACATAGCCCAATTAGATGGAGCATTAGGTGATTCCTCAGATGAAGACGAAGAAGAAGAGGAAGAGGATAACGATGATGACGATGAGGATCTTGATGACAAGGAAGAAGAGGAAAATGATGAAGCCACTGCACGAGAAGAGGTACTTAAAAAAATTATTATAAAATTGAAAGTAGTCCAAGATAATAAATATTTAACTTATATTTCTTTTTATTCACAGGAACCATTAAATTCTGAAGATGATGTAACGGATGATGACCCTTCTGACCTATTTGATACAGACAATGTAGTTGTTTGTCAATATGATAAAGTAAATTTCTATTTTATTAAGATACCTAAAGAAAGATAGTTTAATCATTGTAATGTAAATGAAACATTACATCAGGAATGTTTATGTATGATTGTACAAATATTTTACTTTTCAGATTACAAGGAGTAGAAACAAATGGAAATTTTATCTTAAGGATGGCATAATGAACTTAAGTGGGAAGGATTATGTGTTCCAAAAGGCAAATGGAGATGCTGAATGGTAGATTTGAAGATGATGTGAATATTGTGTTGTCCAGTTTTATTTTTAACAGACTTTATAAAAGGACAGCTTGGTAATGTGTTCATGTGACGTTGTGCTTGATGGACAACATTAAGCTGTAAACATTCTATAATGAGGCAGTAAACCACATAATAATACTATTATATCTAAAATTAAAGTGGTTAAACTCTCTGAGAAAGTAAAAAATCTAGATTTTATATCTTTTATATTTTAATATTTTAGTAATTATCAAAGTTAATATAATGGCAATTTATTGATATTGTTTATTTAAGAAAAAGATTTTAAAATAGTTATATATAAAGTTTAAATAATTTTCTGTTGTTTATTATAAATTTATTATAATATTTTATTATTGTATTATTTTATTAGTGGTACTATTCCTCATAAAGAAAGTTACAGCAGCTGTTCTTATATCGTTTTACAACACAAACATTATTGTTCAATCAATAATGTATTTAGTGAAATATTTTAGTTAACATTACTAGTTGTATTAATGATTATCGCATCAAGAATTTTAATCATTATTCTTGCTGCTTTATATCCCTAGGATCTATAATTATTAAACTTTTACATAATTACAAAATAATTGTAAATAAAGTAAAGGGATGCTAATTATGTGATGCTTTTGAAAATAAATGTGTCTTATACTGTTATTATAGTTAACTAAATTGCGAAATAAAAATGATCATTTAATTCTTAAATTAAATCTGATTGATCAAGAAGAACTACGTCAGTAACAATATACAACAATAATATTAATATCGATAACTGCCTGAAACAGTCGGTAATGCATTTTGAACGAAAGCGGATAACATGCACCCTCGAATCACGACCCTGGAACAAAATGCATCCTGTCACAACATAATTAAAGCTTATGGCAAGTAACGAGAAGAAAATCATAAAAGCAGGATGTTTCCGTAATTATTATAAACAGTTAATGCTCTTATTAGACTGGTTTTGAGCGCGTAACGATTACGGTTAACCTCACTTTTTTCGAATGACATTGTTGACAGTGACAGATAGGGTTAACAAAGAATAGCAAAGAGACTACGAAAAACAACAAAAATAATAATAAATAACAATGAAATAAGCAAAATTATTTTTAATGAAAAAGAAAGAAAATAAGATGAAATATGTAATGTTTAAAAATAAAAGAAAATATCGGGAGGATGTTATATAAAATGCGTAATCGTGTGTGACCATGAATGAGAAGAAGAAATTAAAGCGCGCACGAGATACATCTCGGGAATGTTAAGCGGTTTTCCTACGCCGAAATTTCTACGCGGGATGGAAAAGATATGCCTCTTTGTGAAGCCGAACGTCCTCTTCATGGATAGTAGCTTATGCTTCCGAAAACTGTGGGAGTAAGAGTAGTACAAACTAATAAAGAAAGAGAACGAGAAAGAGAGAGGAAGAATCAACCCACCCGGTCTTTCGGTCCTCTTTCTTCAAAGCATTTAACTCGATTCTCTTAGTAAAAGGCAGCAATCGAAATTGTGGGCTCGAGAAGTCGTGGTGCATCGTTCAAGTTGTGTTGTCAAGATCGAAAAGTGACCATTACCTAAAAAGGGCCTAACAAGTAGAATCGACGATTTTAATCGCGATTTTACATTGATCTGTCATTTTAAAAATGCAAATCAAACGAATCGGATGGTGTTTGATCTTGAGCATTTTTTTTACATACCACGTGGTCAGCGAGAACACGGACTCCTTGGAATCTAATGGTAAACTCATCTATGTTTACATTACAGAATATAACAAATGAATATATATTGCTTATTTAATCATCTAAAACTTTACCTTTATTATCGTATATTCCCTTTTCTATATGTTTGTATTTTTATTCATATTTTTAATCTATTTGTTAATCGTTCATTCACTTTCAATATTTGTTTACCCTATTTTTGTTTATTATCTGTTTATTATCTTGTTAGCTTTGTATGACGAATATACTCATTGTATGAAAAATGTAATAGTATTATTTTGAGAAAGAGAGAGATATTTAAGTATTTTAAAATAAATTATTAAATAAATTTACAAAAAAGTAATAAAATAGTTAATTAAAAATTTAAAAGACACTTACATTTTTTCGAATTTATTTTAATTTCTATATATTCTAATGTTATATTGTCTATGTAAAAAATTATGTTAAATTTATATATAATTATAAATATTATAATATATTTAATATAATAATTTATAATAATATAAATATATTATTAAATATATATATATATATATAATATTAATTATATAAATATTTGTGTTGTTTTCTGTGGAAAACAACAGGTATACTTTACGTATAATATATGATAATTATATCTCATATATAATATTCATTGATTAAATTGATCAACGATCAAAAATTAAAATTGAAAGTTTCTTTTTCGATAAAAATAATGTTACGGTTCATTCATTTAATGAAAAAAATTAAACGAAAGTGACAAGAAGAAATGAGGAATAAAATAACATTCGCTTTTTCTTTACTTCTCAAAGATATAACGTAATCTCTCTTTAACCGCAAATAACTTTTGAAAGAAACGAAAGTTTTCTCAATTATGTAATTTTCTCTCGATCAGTCATAAATTATTTACCTGTAAAAAAAAAAGGAATAATGCAATAGCGATAGATATAAAATCTATCGTCAATTGTCTTTTTGTTTTCTATCGATCTATCGTTACGCTTTCCAAATTATCGTACGATCGAAACTAATTTGTTTTTATTATCAATTACTTTCGTATATATCAAAGATTTTTCAACATAAAATACTTTATTTCACTATTAAATTATTTTACTTTCAACAAATATTGTTTTATATTTATCGGGAATTGAACAATAAATAAAAATAAAATCAACATCAAACAAGCAACATGGCTTAATCGTAATTGTAACATTTAATTGGCTCAACGAGATCAACCTATTTTGTTTGAACTTAATTGTTCTCAAACTATTTATTTCATTCTTAAATTATATTTTATTGTAAATATATTTGAAATTAATTTTTTTTTCTCTAGAATCTCGTTACATTTTTATCATCTGGCAACCGGAAACGATGGTAGCTTATTTCGAAATAGTATACTACGTGACTTTAAAAACGTAAGATTAAATATCATCTTCAAGATTTACGATATATTTAGCTTATTTGTTTTTATCTTTAATTACTATATTTTATAATAGTAATAATATTACAATAAATAATATAAAATTACACAATTGAAAAAAAAAAGTATTTCATTGTCGGTAAGTATTTATCTTTTTCTTTATACAACCCACCATTTCAAATGCGTGGGTTGGTTACAGCAATCGTAATGAAGCATATCTTACTGAAATATATATATAACATACTATTCCGTGAAACGTGTATAGTAAAAAGTAGTGCTATTATATGTCATCGATATGAAAAGATTCTTCCACAGTATAATTATCTTATAAGGGGACAAAACTATGTTTTACCATGTTTCCTACGTCCATTTTAATGTTTATAATTTATTAATAGAATGTACAAAAGAATATTGACAAATGTTGATACAAATCACGTATGAAAAAAGTACGTGCGATGCATAAATACTATAAATCTTTCTAGATCATAGTCAGAAAGATGCATTTACCATTTTGCATTCGCTAAACGTTCTGCGGTTTTTCATGTTGGGCACTACTTTACGATCGGTTATGACGTCATCGTTCAAACTGAACATAAATCATATTAATTTTATGAATAGTTGATTTTCATAAATGTTATTTGTATATGCATATATATGTCAGTAATTATGACATTTTGGGTTAATGTAAATTAAAAAATTTACTGAATTAATATTATGATTTATTTATTTATGTTAAAATTATTCATATTTTAAAAGAAATCATAAAATCAATTTTTACAACTTTTTATTTTACATTAATTCAATGTCATAATTATTGGCACAAGTATATTTATATAATTATATCAAATTGAAATTATAAACATTGTTAGTAGGTATGTGAAATGGCGGCATCGCAGACTTATACTTTTTTAGAATCACTGTAATTGGGGAATATTGAAATGAAAAATTAAATATTGTTATTCTATTAATAATATAATATTGATTTTTGTATTGTTTTTCTTTTCTTAGTATAGCGACTTTTGGACCTTGGTCGCTTATCAAAACATAAGAACAAATATTTGAGTTTATATTTATACATTTAACATTTTGAACATAAACAAAGTTCAAACATCATGTAAATCTTGATATTCTCAAATCTCGGTCTACATGATAATATATATGTATCTATAAGTATTAAATTGTTATCATTTCAGATGTTCTCATTTTCACTGTTGCTACAAACGAGACTGATGGTTTCAAGAGATATATCCGGTCTACGGAGGTTTACGGATTCCGTGACTACGTGAGGGTTCTTGGTTTAGGAAAAGAATGGAGAGGGGGTAATGTTAAAACCAGTCGAGGCGGTGGATACAAAATAAATCTTTTGAAAGATGCGCTAAAAAATTATCAAAATGATAGGGACAGAATTATCATCTTTACGGACAGGTAGATGTATGGTGAATGATATTAATTATATCAATATATATTCATACATATATATATCTTCTCAGTTACGACGTTATATTCCTGGCTCAAATTTCCGAAATTGTTGAGAAATTTAAGGAAACCGAAGCACGAATATTATTCTCAGCGGAAGGTTTCTGTTGGCCTGATCAGAATTTAGCTTCTAAATATCCACAAGTTACTGGGGGGAAACGTTATTTAAACTCTGGTGGTTTTATGGGCTACGCCTCCGACGTATTTGCCATTTTAAACATTGCCACACTCGAGGATCATGAAGACGATCAATTGTTTTACACGAATATTTACCTTGACGAAGATTTGAGAGAAAAACATAAGATTAAACTTGATCATAAGTCCGAAATATTTCAAAATCTTTATGGTGCTGTAGGTATGTGTAAACTTGAGTAAATATTTAACGATGACTATTCGATGAGATATTTATATACTTTCTCTTACATTGTTTAGCCGACGTCGAATTGATATTCAAGGGACAAGAGGCTTATCTTCAAAATACAGTGTACAATACAATACCTTTGATAGTACACGGTAATGGTTACAGTAAGCTAGCTCTTAACTCCTTAGGAAATTATTTGGCACGTGCCTGGAGTCCTGAAGAAGGATGTTTAAATTGTTGGGACAATGTCATTGAATTGGATATTACCAAACCTGATAAATTTCCTATTATTTTGATTGCATTGTTCATAAATATACCAGTACCATTTTTAGAAGAATTTTTACTATCCGTTTATCGACAGACCTATCCAAAATCTAAATTACATCTTTTCATTTACAACGATGTTTCATATCATGAGCAGACTGTACAAGAATTCGTCGATACTATTGGACATGAATATTTGGCTGTTAAACAAATTTTACCAAACAACGATATAGATGAAGTTCAAGCAAGAAATTTGGCAATGTAAGAATTGCGAAACTAACTTCATTTACACATATTACATATGTATAGATTCATATTTTTAACATTAACACAATATTCAATCAATTCTTATGCAGGGATTATTGTTTGTTGAAAAACTGTGAAGGATACTTTTCAATCGACGCTATTGCCCATCTTGATAATGAACATACTTTGAAATTATTGGTTGAACAACAGAGAAACATCGTTGCTCCTTTACTTGTAAGACCATATAAAGCATGGAGTAATTTTTGGGGAGCCATCACAGACGATGGATTTTATGCACGGAGCTTTGACTATATGGAAATTGTCAAGAATGAACGCAGGTGAGTTATATGTTTTACTATAAATCGAAATAATATTTCTATTAAGTTATTCGAATGTTTCATTTGTATAGATTAAATTGTTTTTTATTTTTCGTTATTATATTTATTTCATTTTATTACGTTTTCATATATAATACGCTAGATTTATCTGCTGCGTTTCTAGTTAATCGTTTAGGAATGTTTTCCGTCTAATAAAAAATCAACCTATGATTTACCTCATTAGAATATTACGTTCAATTTTAATCAAAAGCAATGGAGAAATCAGTCTTGAATGATCTCCGGTCGATGCTGTACATATTATCGGCGGTACATTCATAAACACCCGCATCCATCTGAGTAGCAGGATCTATCTCAAGTTTAGATTTTACTTTATCTGCACCGACTTGCCATTCGTGTACCTATTGTTAAATGAAGGATTAGATCAATGATAATGATAAATATTATATTAGGTGTAGCTATTAATTCGGTGGTTTGATGTTAAATTTACTGTATCAAAATCGGCATTGACATCTTTGTTAAAGAACTCGTCAGTTGCCTGAAAGATGGACCATAGAATAATGTGGACCCTAAGACCATTTATTTAAAGTGCACCGAATTAATTGCTACATTTAATAATTGTAAATAAAATGATGTGTCAAATTTTACTAACGTGTAGGTAAAGATGACTGTAAATCTCAGTTCCATCTTTGAACCATGTAATATGGGGTCTCGGTTTACCACGTGCGACACACACGAAAGCTATTTTATGTCCCAATACGTACTCAAAATCAAAATGTGATGCAAGCAATATTTTTGCTCCCTGAAAACGAAAGTTAATCATTAATAAAAATAATAATTATTTTTGTATTTTATAAAATTGTACAAAATGTTGTTCCTTACATTATCGTTATTATAATACTGATCACTCTCGGTATCACGATATTTTCCAGTAATAGGTAGACCTATCTGTACACGAGACTTACTTCTTGCTCTAGAACGACCTCTTCTGCCAAAACTCTCGCGTGAATTTAATAATAATATAGTCAACAAAAGAATTACAAATGTTAAATGTCGCATGATGATTCTGAAATAATAGAATTTTTCGTATCAGTTTAACAATGATTATCTTTATAGACGATTGAATAAAATAGAACAAATATTAATTAATCAACGTTTCAACGTACATCTTTGATAATTACGAATAAAGTTAAATAGACCACAAGTCATGTAATTAAATGAAACTTTTTGGAAATTGCGTAACGTTTCCTTGGACTTGTCAAACTTATTCACCGTGTGCGTACAACGTTCGACGATCACACGGAACTCCGATGCAACTGACAGTCACCTACTCATTACTCCCCTAGTATCCTATCCTATCTATTATGGAACTTGCTGCAGTTACCATTAACTCATACGTGTTTCATGTATAAACATTGAATGCATTTCTTCTAATTACTTTTCTCTCAATGTTTAATACATCCAAAAATTTTCATTAAAGAAAACGTTTCTTTCTTATTGATTTGTATTAATTTAAGATTAATTAATTAGAAAAAAATAAAATATTAAAATTAAAGAGATATATTTATAATAGTATGATACTTTTATAGAAAATTGTATGTTTCATGAAAAGCATCCTTTTTTTTTTATTTTCAAATTTCAGCAGCATGACCCGTTTTATTTCATTTTGTATTATTACGCATAATACGATACGATACATTTCTCGATATACTTTATACCTCACTTTACAAACTTATCACCCTTATGGAAGCCAATTATGTCCTAATGAAAAAGAGCTAGGGGACATCTGAATTTGCATTTATATCGTTATATGGTGAAAAATATTAACGATAAGAGTACTTGAACTCTATCATCTAATAAACTTTGACATTGTATTTTTAAAATGATATACTCTCGATTATTGAGACAAATAAAATGAATTTTTCCTATAATTTAATATAAAAATACATTATAAGAGATAATAGAATATTTTTATTTCACATTATTTATTTATTAAGGAAAAGAAAACAAAGTTAAACTGAGATGGTTAATGAAATTTTTTCTTATGTGATTACATGTAACATAAGTGTCAGTCTTGCATTTCATGCTACAATAACATTTCCAGCTATTATACGTGCATGTTAAGTTTCTATCATATTCGTACAATGTTATTTGATTATTTGAAAAGTAAGAAGAAAATATGCATTTATTAATATGATATCATAACGTAATCTGTTCTGAAACCCCTATGATCAACGGCATATTGATTATCAGCTTGACATTCGTAATAGCCAGCGTCTTTTTGAGTGGCAGGATCAATCTCCATCTTTGATCTAATTGTATCATTTCCAACTGCTCTTTCATGTATCTAAAAATCATTCAAACAATTTCTATATGAGCATGAATGAAATGAAAAGAGAAGTTCTACTTACTTGGAAAAATTCGTGATGATAAACTTCTATACCATCTTTGAGCCAAGTAATCTCAGGTCTTGGAATTCCCGTGGCTACACACGAGAAAGTGATCTTTCTTCCTAATATATAATCTGATTCAAAGTGAGATGCTTCGATAATTCTTGCACCCTACATAACAGAATTGTTGATTAAAAATATACTCCCTCTCTCTTTGTATTTTTCGTCACTCATGTTATATCAAACTTACATCTTTGTTTTCGTAATAGCGTGCACTTGCAGGATTTCGATGTAGTATAAGTATAGGCATCCTAGATCCATGCATTCTTGTTCGACTTCTGCTAGGTCCTCGAGAGCCTCCAGCCTTCGCTGCATTCGCATTCACCACCAAAGTTGCTAACAGCAACAACGAAAGAAACCTGTATCTGGTCATTTGACCTAAAATCAATGATCTTTTCTACATTTTCTTATCATTTTGTTCAAATACAACGATCCATTTTTAAAATTATTTTTTTTATCGCCTTGTTCTTTGCGCGTATATTTTTTTAATTTTTTTACCTCAACACACACTCAACTATTCGAGATTTGATTTTTTCCCGTTGAATATGTATGGTATAAGCTTTTTAATTTGTTATCATATTAGAAATATCATTATGCGGATTTCTCTTACCGAGTATTCAAAGAACAACTTCTTTTCACTATTGAAAAAGTAAAACTCAAAGATCAGATCCGCCTGACCCTACAGCCTAAAATACAAATGGTCCACGTATGATGGGCACGCAGTCACCAGAGACACAGTTATGAATCTCAATTGGATAATTATGCATAACCCATTGCCAGTATGCTCATCAAGCAATCACAGTAGCAGATTGACTACGGTACAAAACATTTAAACGATGACCTCTGAAAAACAACACGTGGCAATTACTTCGCGCGAGTACCAAACAACCCTGCGAGATATTTAAACGTGTGATATAAAGCTTTTCTACTGACGACAAAAGACTTTTAAAGCAATCTTCAAATACTATTTTTTTCTCTTCATCTTTTAAAGAACATCATCCCGCAGATATTAAAAAAAAATATTTAATGATCTAAAATGTAACATATTTGAATTTATTATGTTCCAGGGGTTTGTGGAATGTACCATTCATTAGTAATTGTTATTTGATCAATGCTACACTTATAAAGAACAAAATAACACGTCCCTCTTATTCAATTGACGATTTGGACCCAGATATGTCTTTTGCATATGTTAATAGAGAACGTTACATTCATATGTATGTTAGTAACAGATTAGATTTTGGACATTTGGTTGATCCAGATACCTACAATATTAAATTAACACATCCGGATTTCTATCAAATATTAGATAATAAATACGATTGGGAGAAAAGATACATTCACGAAAACTATACTCTAAACTTTGATCCGAATCATAAACCTCTACAGGTATGTATAACAGCGTTATTTATTATATAATTTGACCATCTTTATTTTAAATATTAATATTATCTTCTACTTCTTTTTCTAGCCGTGTCCAGATGTTTATTGGTTTCCTATTGCCAATCGACGATTTATTAAAGAAATGGTCAATATCGTAGAAACTTATGGTCATTGGTCTGACGGTACAAATCATGTGAGTTTTTCTCTGACCAAACAAATGATTAGAAAATAAAGAAACAATGAATGAATAAACAAAATGATAAATAATATTTTTTTCTATAGGATCCAAGATTATCAGGTGGTTACGAGAATGTACCAACTCGTGATATTCACATGAATCAAATTAATTTTGAAAAGCAATGGTTATATTTCTTAAAAGAATATGTTAGACCTCTACAAGAGCTAGTATTCACGGGATACTACCATGACGTAAGATTTTATGTTATTTTAATAGTAATAGATAGATTTGTATCATATAAAATGTTTTAAACGTTTTATTTTTTTTTTTTAACAGCCACCGCGCGCCCTTATGAATTTCGTTGTTCGATATCGACCAGACGAACAACCGTCATTAAGGCCGCATCACGATAGTTCAACGTACACAATTAATATTGCTCTTAACGAAGTTGGGATTGACTATGAAGGTGGTGGATGTAGATTTATCCGATATAATTGTTCGGTCACCAGTACGAAACCTGGTTGGATGTTGATGCATCCTGGAAGACTGACGCACTTTCATGAAGGATTGAAAGTAACCAAGGGTACTCGTTATATAATGATTTCTTTTGTTGATCCATGACAAGTTTTAAATAAAGAAACTATAAGTTTCATTCACATTTTATAAATCTCACGAAAGAATTATATATCGTGTGATTATATCAATTAAATGTGTTCTTTTAACTTTAGATTGATAATATAATTGCGATACAAGATCACTCATGTATTATTTTTATAATGTTGTATCATAATTGTAAATGAACATACTTCATTGATGATAATAATAATGACTGAACATTTATACAGATTGATGCAAATCGTAAATGCAAAATTGTAATATACAATGCTAAACTCTGTTTATTTTTTTTTTTTTCCTTTATAATAATAAAGTTTTCCCCTTCATATTTTATTCGCTAGTTAAAATCAAAGCAATGATGGCTATATAAAAATGTATTTTGGGAACATATTCTATTTTCTCACGATAGAAATATTAAAAAACATTCCATATCACAACATTATTGAGCTTTAAAATCTATAGTTAATAAGTAGCGAAATATATATGAAAATCTGAGATTCTATTAGGAACTTTCATAGGAAAAATAAGTTGATTGATATCAACGAGTAGCAAATTGTTAAAAATCGGTTTAATCATATCTCTGCACATTTATTTACATAGTAAAAAAAGTGCTTCTTTAAAAATATAAACGAAACATGCATAATGCAATGGCCCATTAAATTTTCCTTAATTTTTTTTATCTTTTTTTTTTTATCAAGGTAAGTACATTTTAAAGTAATTGAATTATCGAATAATGTTATAGTGCAGATATTGAAGGATTTAGTTTGAATTTATACCTTCATCATAATGTACATTGCAGCAGAATATTTGTCAAATTTACATTTAGTGAACTTCTGTATTTACTATCTTTTTACACCTTGTTTTTTTATGGAATGCTACCAGTTTAAATTAATTCAAGAAATAGTGTTTAACAGGCAGTAATGCAAATAATTATATGTTATAAAAATCTTATATCTCTCTCTGCCAGCGAGTGCTCTAATAATTATAGATATTAATATTTGATAAATATAAGATTGTTATTCGAATTGAAATTATTATTTAATTTATCTAGAGATTATTTACAATTTGTTCGTCTCATAGAAAAAATGATTATATATTAACTTAATAACCAGCTCGTTTCAATTCGTTTAATTGATGCGCCAATTTTTCTTCCTTAGTTCTTCTTGCTTGCCCTAGTTTCCGACATTCAATATATGTGCTAAGAAATCGCTCAACATCAACTTTTCCATTAAGAAAATCTTCTGCTATTTTTTCACTCTCTTCATGACTTTCATCGGCTGCTCGCCTTAGGCATTCTTTTATTTGATCTGGCGTAAAAATTTCTGACAACTTATTGTATCGTTGTATTAATTGGTCATATTTAGCTTTTAATACAGCTACTGTTTGTATTTTTTCTGTAACATCAGCTTGTAATTGTTTTAATTCAGGTTCCTTTGCTGCATTGGCTTCTAGAAGATAGAAAAAGATATTACAAAAGATATTATTATTATTATTATTATTATTTCTTATATACTAATACACTATTAAAGTTTTATTTGATTACATACTTGCTGTCTTTTCTACCCAATCAATAGTATCTTCAATAGCTGTGTTAATATCCTTTAATTGGGAATGTTTTTCAAGAAATTCATCCTGCCTATCTTCATCTTCGTTAAGTTTTTTCAATTCCTCATTTGATAAATTATTTAATTCTGGGAATATAAAACTTTGCACAACTTTTGTTTGTGCACAGCTTGGTAACGTTGGATGATAATTGGTATTTGTATAAGTAAGGTATGTTGCCCTGTGTTGATTAGTTGTGTATCGAGAAGGGCTGGCATTATGAAGTGTGTTACTTCTTGAAGATGAAATGTATGTTGAATGTTGTGATGCAGAACCAAATGTTTTTGACTGGTTATCTGTGACATACGTATTGCCAGAATTTGTATTATTATAGTTATAAATGCAAGGATTTGTACCGGAAGTTGAATACTGTGGAAACTGTGTATTATAATACGAGTTATAAGAAGTAGGCGGAATATCTGTATATTGTTGAAGCGAGTAGGATGGTGAATTTCTTCCTTGTAAGTCTACAATGAAATAAATTAATCGTTCACATTTTAAAAAATCAATTCAATCAAATTTACTCTTTGAAAAATATCAAATAAAATAAGAAAAGGATCTTTTAGTAATCTCATACGTACCTCTGTGAGGTTTGGCAGATCCAGGTGAAACATATTCTATTACCTGAGGCGGATTTTTACTGAATTCTCTAATAATAGCTTGAACAACACGACCAAGATCGCTATGCACTGTGAACTAAAAAATGTATAATAATACTTATTTCGCTATAACAAATGATATGAATACAAATTTCAATATAAAATTTGTTTATAAAATTAATAAAATTTACATTAAGTAAGCCTGGTGCACTAGTGATTTCACTGTGTTCATTACACCAAGGATGATTTATCGGAGGGGAAACTCTAAGGACTGGCTTTTCAAGCGGGAACTCTGGTGACAAAGAAACCATGATAGCCATACGCCTTTCTCCAGCATTGAACTGTACTTGATATTCCACATCTTCTCTTAATTCTGCTACACTAAAATATATATATATAAAAAAAAAAAGTTAAAACAAATTACAACAAACACTGAATTACTTATACGACCTTGAAAACATTTTTTTAACCATATTAAGCTACAATGCAATATTATAGAATACAAGATATCAAGAATTATTATACTTTGTCAATTTAAATTTGACAAGATACAATGAAATTGCAAAACTAATAAATATATAATAAATCTGCTGTCTGTACAATATACGATGTCTTTTAACACTGTAATGTCATTGTACTTTTGAATAACTTAAATAATCTATTCATTTAATTATTTTCTTAATAATTAGATAATAGTCTATATATTATAAATGTTTCACCTAACAAGTAAAGTTAATAAGAGGTTACGACAAAGGTATATTATCTTACTTGTCGTTAAAAATTTTCAAAGTGTCGATTTGACGTTTTCTCTTAACAGCGACATTTTCATTTTCTCCACGGAATATTCGCGATATCATTTAAGAGAACTAATTTTGGATAAATCATTCGCTTAACTGTCGATCTCCCTGTCAATGCAACCATCCAGTAGAAACAGCTGTTTAACCTCGCTACGTTTGTGTAGGAACTGAGAAATATTCTCTGAAACATATATCTGTATGTACTCATATACGAATATATATTTTTGCAATGTAGTGACGCGTATACATATTTATAACAAATAAATCATTGAATGCATTTGTAAAAGATCACGAATACGGAAGAGACTACAATTTTCTACAATCGTGACATCTGTCGATGAAACACGAAACTTCTCATTTATTTTGACAATTAAATTTAATGATGCGTCATAATAATTCAATATTGCTAAATTTTATTGAAATCTATATTAAATAATAACAATCAAGTATACATTTTTTTAAAATTTATTTTTTATTTTCATTCAGTTCTTGTACTATTGGTTCTATATGTTTTATAAGTTCATTTGAACTCATTTTGTAATCACTGTCAAACCATAACATTTTTAATTTTTGTAAAACTGGTCCAACCATTTTTCCATTTGATACATAAGATTTTACCATATGACCATTTATTGGAAATTTAGGAACTGTCCACTTATTAATATCATTATAGAAATCTACCATTCCTCTATATTTTAACAATTCGCATACATATTCTTTTGTATCTGACATTTTTAGCTTTGAATTTAATATTAAAAGCTGATACGGTTTCAATGGTTTTTCACAAGGTTTTGGTTCTCTATGTTGAACCAAAAATAATGCTAAATTTCTTTCATAAGCAGAAAACTTCAATCTACTATGCAAATGCATTACTTCTTCTTCATTTTTTAACAATGAAGCAATTAAAGTTATAGCATGTAATTTAAGTGAATTATTCAATGCATTATAATAAACTTTCTTAAAATTTTCTATATCTGGTTTCTCTGGTAGCCCTATATATAACGAAGCATTACATTCTATCAATTTTAATGTTGATTCTCCGCCAAATCTTCCATCTAAAATTCTTTTCCATTCAGACCATATTCGTTCACCAGAAATAAATTCTAACCCTGAAATATTTTCCTTTATTGCTTTTATAGTATTTTCATCAAACTCATCGGGGTTGTTTGAAATTCTACCATAGAATCGGAAAAACCTGTAAATTATAATTACATTCAAATTTAACATAGATTTATTTGAAATTGAACAAAATTATTTCCTACCTTAAGATTCTAAGATAATCTTCTTGTATTCGGGTTGTAGGATCACCTACAAAAACAATTCTTCTTTTTTTTAAATCATCGTAACCATAAAAATAATCATATATATTGCCCGTAAGATCAAGAAACATTGAATTAATAGTAAGATCTCGTCTATTAGCATCTAATTTCCAATCAGTAGTATATTCTACTTCGGCACGTCGACCATCAGTTACAACATCAATTCTCAGAGTAGTAATTTCAAAGTTTTCTTTGTCATTAATTCTTGCGGTAATAGTGCCATGTTTTTCACCATTTGCATTTATCATTCTTATTTCTTCCTTTGTAAATAAATCTTTCATTTGTTCTGGTGTAGCAGTAGTAGCAAAATCAAGATCTGTGGGCTTTAAATCCATGAGAATGTCACGTACAGCACCTCCTGCAATTCTCAATGGATAATTGTATTTTTGAAACAACTCTGACAAAACATTTAATTCCGGTGTAAAAATAGAATGAAATATAGAATTATTCAATTTCATGATGATGGGATTATCTCTGGATGGTGGTGCATTTTCCATCATAACTCTTATTCTTTTGTTTTTAATTGAACATAAATATCTTAATGTACTATCCTGCTGCAAAGAAATACAATAAAGAATTATAATATTAATTACTATTTAAATAAATATTTACCTATCTTATATTCCATCTATTTATATATTTATCAATATTTGATTCTCTGATGTTCATTTTATTTTCAGTAAAGATTTTAACCAAACAACATCGAAAATACATACATATATGTACTCACGTATGGAAATTTTTGAAAAAAAGCACATTGTCTTAACCGTAAAAATTTAAACAAAAATACCATAATTATTGACACATTTTATCACTTTTTTAAGGATTAATGATTATTATTTAAAGCAATATAACAATGTATTACGCGAGACACGTGACATTTAAACTACACTTGCAATCTGTCTAAATAAGTATTACTGTTTTCCTTTAAAAAATATTTACAACAATAATAATTATAATAATAATATTACATATATAAGATAAGAATTATGTTTAATCTGTATCAATTTGTATTTATTTATAAAATTTTAGTATATTTTTTCATTAGTTTACTTTATGGAGGGTAAGGTAAGGAATATCATCTGTATATATGAAAAGTGTCCGTCGAAATGCATTGAATTAGGTTGGCGCCACAGTAGTTTCAGGGTAAATTTTAAAGGAAGCGCCAAATCTCCCTTTTCTTTTTCTCTTAAAGCCTAAAATAATATTAATATGTAGAACTTATATAAATAAATAAAGTGTAAAAACATTGTATTTTCAATATAGATAAATATAAATACCAGCACGTCTGGAGTATTAGGCCTAAAACGAACAGCAGGCATTGGAAAATCTAATCCAAAAAATACACGTTTTGCTATCAATTTTTTTACATCTATTGGTTTAGGTGGTCTTACGGATGATTTGAGAGAACATCTCAAATCTTAATTATAAATTCGTTATTAAATGTAAATATAACGATTTCATGTTATATGAATCGTCGTAATCTGTAATGTAAAGATATAAGAATTGTAATATATGTAAATCGGTAAATATCAATAAGAGTAATAATAGTTTCAATATTCAAACAAGTATCAATAGTTTTTCTTTTTACAATTAGATAAAAAAAACAATGTTTAATTACTCGATAAATTTACTGATAAGTTATAAGATTTTTATAGTTAAAACTCGAAATCAGATCACTAATACATCATATTATGTTAATTGATTTTATTTTTGAAATTTACAAATAAATCAATTGGTATATAAAATACTGTAGCATCATAACTTCATTTCAAAAAATACCGCCAACACGTTCATGTGCATCATTAACACCTATATAACCTATTATATACCTATCACAACGTAGGGATCCGCCATTCATATTCAGCTCATGTGCCATTGGCTGAAAATTTTGGGGGACCGCTTGAATTTATAGTAATTTTTTCGTTTAACCTATTCTATTTTAATATAAATTTTTAATTATCATTAAATATAGTTCTTTTTTTTTCTGTATTTGATGCAATTCATTATTTCATAATTATTTCAATGTTTGAATCATTCGCGCGCAAAATCGAGTTCCGGTCCCCCAGTAATGTACATGGCGCATACCGCCTATGGTTTGTTTCCTCTATCTGTAATATCTCTATGGGGTAATATCTTTATCCAATCCCTGGTCGTGATTACGTCACATGCTTCGGCTAATCAGCTGCTTACACCTCTCGGATTGGCTTAACATGGCTGCGCGATGGAACGGAAGCTGTCCCTCCAAATTTTCAGCCTAGCAATGTGTATGACGCGTCCGTCCTATAGAGTCCCTAGCACAATTTGGTATTGTGCGCCACTGAGTCGCATTATGCTCTGTAATTGGAAAACTACCATTATATCACAGAAAACATATCGATATCTCTATTACCACTTTTCGCTTATTTCACTTAGGCGCGAAAATCAATTTATTTTTTTATCATATCCCAAAACTGACTTAAATCTTTTAATTGATATAGTCATATTAAAAATTAATAATTTATTAATTAAAAAATTAATATTAATTACAGTTAAGAAAACTAGTATCTAATAAATAACTCACAATAAAATACGGATCATACGTTTCAATATAAATAAAGGAAACGAAGGATTCGTAACAATAAAAAATAAATGAACTTTTCCCTAATAAATTTAAATTCATTTTATTACATAATACTAATCTATACAACTTATATAATCATTATTAATAATGATAAATTTAAACTGACTTTTTACAAGATATATTTTATATATATCATTCCTTGATTAAGGAGATAGAAATATATCTGATTTTTATTCATCAAGATGAAATATTTTATTATTAATTCTTAATTAATATTATTATTATTATTATTATTAATATTATTATTGACACATGATTTCAGAATACGAAAAAGTTTAAAAAGAAAAAATATATTTTATGATATTGAACTTATTGAAGTTTTATAATTAAGTTTTTTGATTATAGCTAAGATAATTAATTAATTAAACATTTACTTAGAAGAATTTTTGAACATATACATATTTGCAAAAATATAATACTTTTTTAATTTTTATGTATTACATCTTTGCACGGCTCAATATGTGATCTTTGTTGCGCCAGTTATTCAAACATGTATATAAACCTATGAATGTAATGTATTAATTAAGACATATGAATGCACGAAGAAAATAAAAAGAAGAAATCAAAATCTATTTATTTTTTTACACATTAAATTTTGATAATAATTTTTAGGAACGAACACGATGTTTTAAAAAATTTCTCATTAATTGAGTTAAGTTAAAAATCAATTTACTTACGGATGAAGCGTATTTTTTACATAAGAAATATTAGTACTTTGGTAACAGAAGATTCTAAAATTTAATGATACTGTACAGAAAGGAATGAATTATTGTTGCAATCTTCAATGGCTAAAAATGTATCTAATTTTGTATCTTAAATCCCTGATGATATAAAAAATGTAAAACAAAAACCACCAGATTAAATAATACGTGGATCCAAAGTTCGTTAAACTTATATTTCTTGTAAATTCCATAACTTTAACATATATTTTTTGTTTGTTTGTTACTTTATACAGTGGTAATATTGATTTTATTAACTTTCAGTATGAACATTTTAATGATCAACGACTTATAATAATGGCGTTAATAAAATGGAAATGCCGTTTTTTTATAAAATTACTTGTTTGATACATCCTTGACTATTCTGTGTTTAAGTTCTTCCATATTTTCTGTCAACCGATTTTCTTACTGGCGAACCAAAAACGAGAAAATGAAAATAAAGATTTTCTTTTAAGCTTAAAAACAAGTCTGTGTAATTATCGCGCAATAAAAAAATTCGTGTTAACAGTTATAGTCCATTTCTTCATTAATAATATAGATTCTTAAGAATTCTATATATCATACTTCAGATAAGCATGATTACATCAATTGTAACTCAATGGTACAGAGTTATAGAGCAATCATAATATACTTTTACTTTCATTTCATTAAGAACGCATTGGAAAATCTTCTGATTCCAGAATGAACAGATTCTTGGCAATAATGTTCTTTAAAATAAGATTTCAAAATCTTCCATGTCCGACAATGAAAGGTCTTCTGAGAGATCATTGATATCAAGACTGGGCTCATAATCTGGACTATCATCAGCCGAGTCGTCACCATTTGCGCCATCTTCATCATCATCCTCATCATCGTCATTATCATCTCTATCATTTTGCTCATTATCTTCTCCGTTTTCTTCAGCGGCAGCATCATTGTTATCGCCATCTATTTTAATAAAATAATGGTTTGCCTTTTGAAATAGTTATTAATATGTTGCCGTCCGATTTTTGTATTTCTGAGCATGATCGTCAAATTAAAAGGATGCGGCAACGTGGTAATGTATTTCATAATAATTTATACAGAATGGTGCACCAACTATTAGCACCTAAATATTTCCGTTATTTGTTATAATATAGACAAATGTTATATACAAAACATATATGGCACAAAGAAGTACATAAGGTAGTATAAATATTTTTGGCGTAAGTGGGAATAGATATTCAAAAGCTATACGAATTATTTATCTTGTAAATATTGACCTTGGATGGCCTTCCATATTTTGAATCATAGGTCGTTCTACTCCACTCATAACCCACTATCATACTATAGAAAAAAAAAAAAAAATATGAATCCATTTAAAAAAATTAAGATAACCTCAAGAATTTCTGTACTCCTCCACCCACGCAAAAAACATTGACACTTTCTTATGTACCATATTACATTTTTCTATGTGCTAATATTTGATGGACCACTCTGTATGTGATCTATTTTATAATAAATACTATAAGAGTATAATTTACATAAATATATATAAGCGATATTATTTTTTAAAATAATAAACTAATAAGTAAGTTCGAGAGATAACCATCAGGATTATTATCATCCGATGCAGAATTAGATCCATCGTCATCAGTAGCATCAAGATCTTCTTCTTCATCGTCATCTTCTTCAGCCTCGTCTTCATCATCCCTTCGTCTTCCAACATCATATAATCTAACGCAGGATTCTTGTATACTATCAAATTCTCCTAAATTTTCAACTATAGCAATTTGTGTATCAAATTTATTGCATGCTAAATCATAAACTCCTCTTTTTACATCACACGTTGCTAAAATATTATAAAATTGATATTACTTTATATATATTTAAATGCATAATTAATATTTTATTTTATCAGATATTTTTAAAAATTTACGTACCAATGTTGGAATAATCTAATGCGTCTAATGTTTTGAACGATGTTACATAATGTGATTCATCTTCACTTTCTTGATCTAAAGATACAGCATATATTATATTATTAATAGGAGAAAAGATAACTTCCATTTGATCAAGAGTAGGGACAGTCTTAAGAAGATGAAAAGTACGTAAATCCCATACTTCTGTATTTGATACTACTTCTGTACCATTAGGATGAAATACTCCATTTAAAGTTTGATTAAGTTTATCAAACTTATGTATTTCTTTACCAGAATTGACATCCCATAATATTCCATCACTTAAAACTAATTCATCATTCATACTAAATGTTGCCCGATTTTTTGTATATTGATTAGAAATAGAAGGTGTTAATGTTGATAGAAGTTTACCAGTTGTTATATCATATATCTACAATCAAAATAAATATCATAATATTTATTAATTTATAACATAATTTGTATTTAAATGAGATTATTACTTACAGTAGCACTTTCTGCTTGTGTACCAATTATTCTATCTTGCAATTTTCCAAATTCAACATAATCTTCATTTTCTAAAGACAATTTCATGTCAAAGAATGCTCCAATACTCCAAAGAGCTGACATGGGACTTCTCCAAGCAGTTGATGTTAATAATAGATTACCTCGTTGATTACATTCCATATGGTATACATACGACTCATAGCACTGATATGTCGCTTCCTCTACTCCTGTATGAATGTTGAACATTTTCACATCTCCA